TCTCTAGCAACAATTAATTGACGACAATAGTTTAATTGCTGCTAAATATGTATTTTTAGTGGCATGTAACACTCTTTGTAAATGTCCCTAAAGCTTATAACGACATTGAATCTAACGGCAATTAACTAATGCCAGTAAAAACTTTATTAGCACTCTTTGTTAATGTGTATTTATTACCACTAAAAGTTGTTTTTATGGTAGTAATACTGGATACATTTTCTAATAAATTAAACATCAACACAAAATCAAATTATTAGCTCACCACAAAATGGCTTCCACAAACATTTGAAGAAAATGAAAGAATCTAGTCCAAAACATGCAGATTATAACCTATACACAATTTTCTCAAAACTTGTGTTTGCTTCAATTTGCATTCCTTATCCTCCAACTAAAAGTCGATGCATTAATAGACAAGAGGGAGTTGCTCAAATGGTAAGCATCTCTCACTCCCAACCTTAAGATAATTCATTTGAACCTTGTCGCACGGTTATACATTTGAAACTTGAAACAATCTAAGTTGCTAGCGAAGAACAAATTTTGTAGCTAAACAGCAAAATCCATCGCTAATCCTACTTAACCACAAACCTTCATTAGCTACGAGCAAAATAGCGACAGAGCGACGAAATTCGTAGCTAATTCTAGTGTTTCTAATAGTGCGACTCTTCACTTTAAAGCGTTGCAAAAAGTCCTGGAGGTTGTGTGTTCTAGTCCTACTAGCCTCACAACTATATTTTTACTACAACCATTGACACCCCTTAATGACGATCCAGCTGATCATGACAACATGGTTAGTGTGGGTGTGGGATTCATACGGGATACAGGGCAGAGCTACAACAAACTAATAAAACTCTCAAAATCCGTAGGACTACATTATACATGTTCTCAAAACCCATAGGATTATACACTATACATGTAACCAACTTATAAACCTCTATTTACAGAGTTCTAAACCTGTTATAGTAAAAAATAACTAGCCAAATATTGAAAAATTGTAAGAAGAACTAAATCATCACAAAATTTTCCATTGCATATCATTTAGAAACTAATTAATTAACACAAACTATATAGCAAAACAGATGCATGCTAATATTTATAAAAAAAAAAAAAAAAAAATCAACCAACACTTACCAAAATTTAGTTGTCGAGATATATTTAACTACCTAATAGACGAATTATATCGCTACTATATGCATTTTTTTCAGAGTAAAGTGTAGAAAGTGATGAAAAAATCAGTTTTTTTCACAAATTAAGCGAAAGAAGAAAGAGAGGACTTATGAGGATAACCAAACATGTAAGGACAGAGTAGTCATTTGAAAGCACCACCTGTTTTAATGCAGGCACATGTGTCTCCTTATTAGCAAATGAACTTTTTTTTAGTGAATGACACATGGCTCGATTTGGTTGGATTTTTTTTTCTTCATCTTATCATCTATACATGAATAACAACGTACTTCCACGTAGTTCAATATATAAATTTTATTTTTATCTTAAACTTAAATAAAAGTAAAAAGATATTTTTAATAGATTTTTTATTTAAGTTATTTAAGAAAAAATAGGATTTACACTTTTATTTAAATATTTATTAAATTTATATCTTTTATCGCCTATATTATGTGAGATTCGACCTTAATCTCATTTGGGTTAGTATTGTTATTTGTGCCTATGATCGTGTTATATTATCTTAAGGTATAATTTTAAGCATATTAATTATGTACCCCTTATTTGTTGTACTCTAAGGGGTCGTTTGGTTTGAATACAAGTTATGATTGGATTAGTTATGACGGGATAAGTTATGCTGGAATTATTTCTTATTGACCGTTTGGTTGGTTGCTTTCAATACAATATGCATTACATAAATTCTAAGAATAAGTTGTTTGTTTACGAAAATACCCTTCAATTTATTATATATATATATTCTTTTCAAGCAGTAGTTATTTATTCTTAAAAATAAAATTTTGTCTTATTTAGCTTAAATATTTTTGTGTGTGCATTTCCATAATTGTACCAAATGTATTTAAGAATAAAATTTTCATCTAAATTTGTTAAAGTACAAAATGATTTATTATTTATGTTACTTCATTTAAACACGTATCATTCTTAAATTGTAAAATACTAAAGTTATCTTCATTTTTAAATCACCTTTCATGTTATTATTTCCTTCAAAATTTATGTGAACTAACAATAGAATTCTTCCCGAAATTAGCGTACATGAGATAAAAAGAAGATAAAAAAAAATAAAAAATACACAAAAGATCTAGCTAAAAAAAATACCAATATAAACTAATTTCAGAGTAAACTGCACGGGAAGCTTGTATTCAGTACCGTAGCATTTCGTTTTATCTCTCATTTTAATTGATATATAAAATATAAATTTTCAAGTGGCTAAAAGAATATACAATTAAAAATATGTAATTCGATAGTAAGGAAATTAAATTAAAATATAAATAAACATAAGAATTATTCAAATAAATTCATAAATAAAATTATATTTATATAGGGTAATTTTTTTTTAAAATATGAAGAATTATTATAATAAAAATAAGGAGTAGTGAAGGTCATAACTATTATTATACATGATATTTAAAATAATATATGATTTTACATGGATAAAAAAAATGAGGTATAAAAAGAGTTTAAAAGGACACTTTTGTTATTTTATCTATCTTATACCGGGATAAGCTATCCCGGTATTACTATTCCACCCAAAGATAGGGATAACTTATCCCAGGACTAATTATTAATCCTGGGATAAGTTATCCCATGTTGTGCAACCAAACAAAGGATTAAAGGGTGCTCAAAATTTATCCCGGGATTAACTCCCTTTATCCATCACACCAAACGACCCCTGAATCTTTTAGATATTCATTGACAATTTGACATGATATTATTACTATTAAACTATGCAATTTAATCATCTAAAACAAAATAATCAATAAACTATTACAAAAACAAAATCACTTTAAATAACGAAATAATTAAATATGATAATTTTGAGACATATGAATTATGATAAAAATATGAAGATCAATGGCACGAGAAGATGTAAAATTCAATTATATATTTTAAAAAGAAATCTTAAGTGATTATCCCCTCCCCCCACCCCCCACACTGTGTTTTTAATTAGTAAATATAGAATACTATGACTTGTTATTTGAGTTACTCTCAATTTTCTTATTTCTACATATTGAAAAGGCAATTAAAATTCATTCGTTTATTAAGGAATTACAAAGGATAACAGTGTTAACTAGAGTAATTTGACACTTACTTTATTTAAAATTATTAAGAGAACCTTAAGAATTGAGCGTTGAGCGTGTTTAGGACATATAGTCTAACCTTAGTATAAGTCTTAAAAAAAAATAGCACAAAATATATCAATGAAAGAGGGGATATATAATATATCATCATCTGTGCAGCCAAAATAGATTTTTCATAATATTTGTGGTCTAAATAATGGTATTAGGTCTAAAACCCCACTTGCACAGAGGTGAACACTTGAACTAATGTTTTATTGGTTTACATTTTCTTCAAAGTATTTGTTGTGATTGAATGATACATTACTACTATTATAGTATTAATATTTTATTATACATATAGAAAAAGCATTATTCATTGTCATAATTTGTAATGTGGGAAATTAAGAATAGCATATAGGTTGTTGGGACTTAATTTTTGATGAAATAAGTAACATGCATGAAGCAAACATGGAAATATTATTTGTAAAACAAATTTAGTAGTATAAGTTCTTGATTTGACAGGACACTGTACATACATTTTAATTAGCACTAAAACACAAAAAAGATTTATATTGACAATTTCTGAACAGTGACTACTAAACTATAAACAATTAAAAATGACTAATTCTTTTTTCTAATTAAATTGTCATTCTCACTCTAACAAAAATAGTTTTTAGTGGCAATAAAAGTTGTTAAAACTTGAAAGATAAAGAATAATGTCATAACTTATAATTATTAGTTCTATATATGTCAATTATAAAATTTTCACTTAATAAAAAGTGTTAAAATCTTTACCGGCATTAGTTAACTGTTAGCCTAATGTCGCTATAGGCTTTAGGAACATTTACAAAGAGTGTTAATTGCTGCAAAAAATACATATAACGACAATTAAACTATTGCAATTAATTAATTGCTGCTAAAAATATTTTTTTTAATGATTGATCTCGGTGATAATTCAATTGAATTTGTATTATATTATGTTAAATAATTTCTACGGTTTATTACTTAATTTTGTCAAACACTCTTAATGCAGAACACTATGTTAAATAATTTCTATGGTTAATTACTTAATTTTGTCAAACATTCTTAATGCAGAACACTTATAAGATTAAAATAATTGAGTTTATGGTATATATAATAAATTCAATCGACTAGGAATCTTTATTTCTGAAAAGACTAATTCCTACAAAGTCAAGTTTTCAATAATATTTTAAAGATCCAATGAACCACTTCTTCAATTTATTTTTTTAATTTATTTTTTAAAAGGTGAATTTGTGATTTAGACCCCGAAACATTGACAAATTCAAGTTTTGGTCCTTATAATTATCTGGTTAAACACATTTAACCTTCAATTTATTCAAATATGAGGATAATATAATTCTAAAAATGTCATATCCTGTGTGTAAATGGACCAAAAATACTTACTCCGATCCCTCCGTCCTAAAATACTTATCATTTGTCGATTTGACTAATATTCAAAGCTAAATTGAAATAGATTAATTTACTATTTTAAAATTATAATCTTAAATATTCGAAAACTACATGAAAAATAATAAAATTAGAAGAACCAAAAATAAGAATTCATCAATAATTGAGGATCGAAATTGCAATTTTCCTTTCTTAAAACATTTTCTCAAAAGGAGTAGCTTGAGATAGAAGTATATAAGAAGGTACTCCATAATGAAATTCACATAGAATTAATCAAGCTTTTCCCCATCACATAAAAGTCAAAATATATTAGTATATATCAACCACTTTACATGTACAAAATTTAATTGAAAGACTAGCTTATTTCCTTTTTTTCTTCTTGAAAGATGTCTAAGCCAAATGCAAGAAGATATGCATTAGAGAAATACAATAGAGAGAAAGAGCCAATAATTAGCAATAATTATGGGAATAACTTGTTTTATTTATCCAAACATTTGAAGAAAGTTTACCCAATAGAGCTTCACAAAACTTGTTCACACACATTTATAAATGATTTTTCTTCTCCATTGGATCATAAAAAAAGAGAAATTCTACACAACAATATTGTTGTTCCACAAGTTATTCCATGTCCTAATGAGAAAGAGCTTATGAGGTGTAGCTGGATAACTAATAGCACAGGTAAATTTCATCTAGCATTACTCTTTTTCTCATTTCACTACAAGAAAATATGAAATTTATCGGAAATTCCTAGTTAATTTGTCACTAAAAGGCTTCTAGCGAACTGAATTTTCTTATAATCCGTCGCTAATATGTAGCTAATTAAGGAGATTATTAGCATGAAAATTTTGTTGTTTAGTTATGAAATTTTATCGATCGTTAATTCCTTATTTTTAGATAGTATTTTTTTCCTTTGATTTTTGAAAAAAAAAATATATATATATATTCTTTCTTTGAATCTACTTGTTTGGGATTGAATCATATTATTTTTTTCACATAATTTATGATACGCGCTTTGCGATACGACTAATCCAGATTTGTGTAGAGAAATTCTGCTTTAGAAGGTAATTAAATCACTTCCTATCAAAAGTGATTATATTCCTAGAGCTCGAACACAAGATCTATCATTAAGGTCGAAGAATATTTATCACCAGTATACAAAAATAACCTTGACTAACAGAATTTAAATACACCTCTGATCTTGCAATATGAGTGAAATACACCCCTAAATTCTCGTCAAGTTTAGGGTGTTTTCAATTACACTTCTCTCGGCTTTTTATTAATTAAGAGTTTCATGCTCCTACAAGAGTTTGAGACCACTTGCTATGTTATGTGGCAGATCAGGGTGTATCTAAGTTTAATTAGTCAAGTAGAGTGGTGTTTTTAAAGCTGTCAATAGTTCAGGGACGAAACTAATAATTCGCGTCAAGTTCAGAAATGTTTTCAATACTTCTCGATTTAATCTATTATAACTAGTTAACATTAAAAAGAAAATGTTAGTATATGTACATATTACATATATTCTTTTTTCATAACTTAGTAGTCATGTGTCTTATATGCCTTGATAGTACATTATATTCTTGAATGACAAAACAAAATTGGGCATGAAAGTACAACTTAATTGGATTATTGATCCTCTTAAGTACCAAAGTAAATTTTGGAAACTAAAGACTCATTGAGTTTGCTATGTATTTATATATACAGATAAGGTTTATGTGCAATTCCATGATGAATGCTGGGGTGTTCCAGTTTATGATGACCAGTAAGTAATCTAATATATAATTCATGAAAGAATATAAACAGTTTTCAAATATCATTTTTCACTTTGAAAAAAAAAATGACTTTTTTCTTCACAATCTTCATGATCAAACGAGACCTAATTGGCCAAGTGTGCACACACTGCAGTCAATTGTTTGAGCTACTTTCTTTGGCTGGCTTGTTGATGGATTTCAACTGGACTGAAATTTTAAAGATAAGGGAACAAATAAGGTACATACTTCTAGTTTGTTAGTAACTTTTATTTATTTATTATTATTACTATATATACAATGAACAAAGCACCAATTATCTAGTGGTAGCAATATATCTTGTCACATTAAAGATGGGAGCTCAAATTCTAGTTTGTGCATTTCGGTGTAACTAGTACAGTTGCTCTCATGTGATTAGGAGGTAACAAGATCAAACCGTAAAAATAACTTTTTTGTAGAAATACAGGATAAGGTTGTGTACAATACAACAATGATCTAGTGGCCATAGAAATGTATCCTATCACATTAACCAAGAGGTCACAAGTCCAAGCCGTGGAAACAACCTCTTACATAAATGCAGGATAAGATTGTGTACAATTAGTCCTTATAATTCGATCCTTCTCTGGACCCCATATACAACAGAAACTTTAGTGCACCGAACTACACTTATTTATTCATATAGATATATACAATGTCCACGTACAAATTATATATTGTTCAATATTCCTTATGATAATTATATTATGCAGAGAAGCCTTTGTTGGATTCAATGCAAAGCAAGTGGCTGAAATGGGAGAGAAGGAGATTAATGAATTGGTCTCCAATGTGTCCCTCATGTTGGCTGAAAATAGAGTTAGATCAATAGTTGGCAATGCCAAATGCATAGTCAAGGTAAGTCTTTACTATATCATTATTATGCATTCATGAATTTTATCTACTCTACCTCCATCACAATAAAGTCATATAAGGCCTGAAGAGAAAAGAATTAATGTACATAGATTTTATTCCTACCTCATAGATATAGAGGAATTATTTTCCGATAAATTATCGGCTTAAAATAAAACATTACCAAGAAGTATGAAAAAAGGAAATATATAAATAGAAGCGATAACAACAACGAAATAATGTAAAATGAAGATCAGCAATACATAACATATGAAGAAAAGCCATTATAAACTTTATGCGCTATAACAACATAATATCACAAAACTATTTTCGTCTTTTAAAGTTACTAAACTATATAAGTGTAGTTTTGTGATTTTATTGTTATATATAGTGGATAAAGGTAAGATATTTTAATATGACAAAAGTACTTTTGTTACTTTATATTATACTAATTTCAATTACTTTAAATGTATCAAAAAATATTTCTATGACTTTAGTGTTATAGTGAACAAGTCAATGACCATATACAAAGGTAAATTAAGTACCATCTTTACCAAATCAAGTTGGTAAACTTATATTCTATATTAAATTTAATTTGACATGGTAGATAATCGTCTGATTTATTTTCTAGTTATTATGGACAATTATATATTTACATTGTCAGTGCATAAAAGTCAAATTGATTAGTTTATTATTAAAATGCAGATTAGGGAGGAATTTGGATCTTTGAGTTGCTACATGTGGAACCATATGAATTATAAACCAATAATTAACAGATTTAGAAATGCAAGAAATGTACCATTAAGAAGTCCAAAAGCAGAAGCAATTAGCAAAGATTTAGTGAAGAGAGGATTAAGGCATGTTGGTCCAGTTGTTATAAACTCATTCATGCAAGCTGCTGGAATGACTATTGATCATTTGATTTATTGTTTTAGACATAAAGAATGTCTTAATCTTGCTGAAAGACCTTGGAGGCATGTTTAAAACATATAATTAAATTGTAATTCCCACAAAAAAATTACAATTTCGCTTTGTTCTTCTTTTTGTAAGTGTATTTTTAATATATCAAGACTTTTTTTAGAAAAATTATGTGGTGTAGCGAATTTATACTTTATAGCAAAAATTACTATTCGTAGCTACATTTTGAATTTTATAGCAAATCCCTTTACCTAAAAAGATAGGGGCTTTGAGCCTCCTATGCTACAACTCAGCCCAAGGTATTCATTTATGTTCCTCTATCTAGCTCCTATTCGGAGTCGGGGCGTATCTAGGGAGGTTCTGCGGGTTCACATGAATTCATCTTCTCCTCTTTAGATTATATATAGATATTAGTATTATATTATTATTATTATTTAAAAAAGTACTTAAATATAGATGCATGAAGTGGTTTTCTGGTGATGGTACAAGTATATGTCATAAAATATAATGGCATAATACATAAATTGGACCCTAAACTTGGCTTCAAATTTTAAGTATGACCTCTAACTTTCATAGTGCACAAGTAGGCACTTTAACTATCCAATTCTTAAACAAAAAAACACG